ATATAAAATGAATATTGGTGAACAATTCAATGAAATAAATTTTTCTAATAAAACCTCATTTGATGAGACAAAAATAGGTGAAATTTAGCTATTATTAAAGATTTGGTTCCACATCTCCACTACGTTAACCAAGAATCTCTTTTTGGCAACAGGCTCCATTGTGTATCCATTCATTGTCTCCTGGTCCCAGAGAGGAACTGCTCCTTCCATGCCAACCCAAGCCTAAACTTAAATTTCTTCTTATTAGTCTTTTAATCATTCTTCTCCCCGGTAGTGAATCAAAAACCAAAGTTTTCAGTTTCTCTACCTCATGCTATTCACCATGCTTCAGTGTAATCAGAAACTTAAGACTGGTAGAAGAAATCTTAGCAAAATAAGAATCTTTTCATGCCAGACACTGTGCAGCGCATTAAATCATTTAACCCGTATGAAACTCTTATGCAGCAGGTGTGGTTATTTCCTCTGTAATTCTAGAATCTGGTAGAGACAGTGAACACTTAGAAATCTAGGCATGTGGCTGAGGCAGGAGCATAGCTCAGGTCTGTAGGGCCAGTGATTCTGTGTGATGGGCTGAGAGATTTTCCTCCATTCCTTGTATTGCTCCATTTCTAAGCTGTGTATATTCCACATGTGTTAACCCTTATTGGGAATAAATATTTGATAAATAAAAAGAATATTTTCTTATAAATATTTTAAAAAGAAAATGAAAGTTACACATACTCAGGACATTTGGAAAATATAGAATATTAGAAAGAAAAAAGTGCACATGACTTAAATGCAGTTATAACCCTGTAAACATTTTGGTACTTCTATTGCTAATCTTTTTATATGTATATAATAGAAAAACTTTACCTAGTTATAATCATTTTTTACTTTCCAGGTTTGAGGCTAGCATGGGCAACATAGCTAGATCGTACCTCAAAATAAAATTTTTTAAAAGGGCTGGTGATGTAGTTCAGCACTCCCTAGGTTCAATCCCCAGTAATGCCAAAAGTGAGGAGGGGAGTGCCAGTACTCATATCTTGATGGACTGTAAAAATTCCCTTTTATCCTCTCCTTTTCCTGTGCTGCCCTCTCTCCTTTCTTGAACTACAATCTTTGACTCATATGTACTGCCCAGAAAACTCCCTTTGGTTAAGGTATCAGTGTGACAAGCAGGAAAAGAAAAAGAAAGCTTATTACTTCCCCTCTTCTCGTTAACACACACCTCATTAATAATAACCTTTATGTTTTTTCCATAGTGCTTCAGGCTACACAGTTATATATTCATTCATTTCACAAATATTTGTTAAGTACTTTGTAAATGCCAGCCGTTTTACTCTGCAGAAGCATGAGGACACAATAGAAGAATCCCTGTTCTTTAGGAGAATGTAGATGCATGCGTAAGTAGGAGAAAGAGCCAGGTGACAGTTGATCTGTAGAAATAGTGACCTTGTGCTATAAAATCAGAAAGGAGACAGACACACTTCCGTTCTCAGAGATCCAAGTGATTCTCTGATAAGAAAATGGATCTCAAAGAGATTTGGTTCCTCGTTGGTTGGAGGTTGAGTCAGCAGTAAAACCAGATGTGACTATGAAAATCCTGTTCTTTCCACCCAACAATGTCATAAGATGTGTCCAGGTGCCTGTATTGGGGAATTCCTAGGGTGGGGACCAGAGCTCCCCCTTTTTTCCTCCAACTTCAAAATGGCACTAATTCCTGTTTGAAATAAGAATTGTGGGACAAAAGTAAGGGAAGCTTAAGTTCTCTAGACTGTCTTTCTCTCTGTTTAATTGGGTAATCATCAATTTGTTACTGCTCTTTTCTAGGTCTCTCTCTATACTCCATCTGTTTAAAAAATGTGTTTTAGATAAATCTTTGTAGGCCCCTATTTTTATAAGAAATATGTCCTGATTTCCTCTTGCTCATCAAATGCCAAATGTGGCATTTCCAGGAGTGCGAGTCCCCAGGCACCTTGGGAAGTCTTGACACCCCATAACTTCAGCAGAGGGATACTCAGCTCTGTCTCTTATGTGCCATCTAATCTTGAATGAGCCACTACTAATCCCATTGAACCTCAGTTTTCTAATTCATAAGATAGAAATACAAATAACTGACTCACAGAATTGATGTAAAGAGTAAGTGAGCTGATGTATCTAAACCTCTTTGCACAGTATCTGGCATGTAATGCTCCATAAATATAGGCAGTGATACTATAGTGTTGTATGAGTACTAATTTGGAGTCCTGAACAATTTTACAAGTCAAAATACAACGGTTGCTTTTTCTACTAATGACTCCTTTATAAAGGCATGAAGGAACCAGAAGGTCCACACAATAAATACAGAATGTTAGTCATTATCTCCTCAGATTTTCAATTAAAGGGTTGGAACACTGTTTGCTGATAAACTTTACTGATGACCCAGAAAGGATTTCCATTATTCTGTGTAACATAGCAGGAAATCTTTCTTTTCCTTGCTGAGTTCCCAGTGCTCAGGACAGGCTGCAGCACAGGGTAGGCGCTTTGCAGAGGTTTTTGAACGAATGATTTCACACTTTGTATTTAAGAACTAGAGAGAATAATAGCACTTGACGATGAACCCTTTCTTTGCTCTCAGGTGTGAGCTTGTGACATTAGTTGAATTTGTTTTGAGGGGATTTGAGATCAGAGCAGAATTCTTCTGATATCAGTGTTTGGCTTTCTGTTTTGATCAATAGACTTATTATTTGGCCTTGAACCTCTGTGGTGCTGGAGAATCACAGACATTTCTCAGGTTGATTTACATGGCAACAAATAATCTGTGCTGTCTATTGCTTGTCCCATCAATGTCTTTCCTCTCCATAAACCCTAGAGGCTTAGCAGCCCCAAGGCTGGAGCATGGTGCATGTGTTAACTCCAGTTACAGATGTGTGTTTCTGATGAGCTGCTTGGTTTCATTGTTGTTTTGTTGCTCTAATATGCATCAGAATTTAGGTATTGTAACAGTTTCTATTAATGTTATTTTACTTTTTATGTCTGTTACAGTCTTAGCACTACATGTATTATCTCATGTAATCTTTACAACTCCTGAATTAGGTAATTATACCCTTTTTGTAGACATGGAAACTGAAAGTGAAGCATAGTCTCTGAAATCACATTGCCCATGAGCCATTGGTACTGAGATTTGAACTCAAGTCTTTCTGATCACAAAGGTTTTAGTACTATACCATGACATTTTCATCATTTGAAGTACTTTCTTCTGCTTTTGGAATTATTTTGTGGTCAATTTGGTACCCTGCTGCAAAGATCCAGAAGTTTCCCATAACATTCAGAGATGAATTTTAAATTTCTTAACAGCATTGCAAATACACAAAATTTATAGTGATGAACATAGCCGGATTACTTTCTTGTTACCCACTCATTTAGCAGATTTACAGTTTCCATTAATTTTAATCTGTCCCTGTTACCTGTTTTCTATAATAAATATCTCCTAGTCATGACAGACTCACTGAGTATAGATCACCTGAAGTAGGCTCTCTCTCAATAAGCAGAGTTGCAGCTAAAGATTTGTGAATTAATTGGGAAAATTGCAAATCAGGTAGTCAGTGAAATAATTCATTGTCACATCCAATCAATAAACTTTGTAAATCAACTCATTTAATTCAAAAAATGATCTATATAGATCAAGCAACCAATTAAACAATTAGCATACATTTTGTAATTAATTAATTTAAGCATCAATCATGTAATTAAAACTCTTAAGTTTAAGCTACAGAATTTAGAAGTCTACTGTCTTCTGAACTATTAGATTACGCTCCTTAAGCAAGTATGCTTCTGAATGCTAGCAGATTTGCAGTTTCACAATTCAGCTTTGGACCAAGGTATCTTAATGTGCTTAAGTTGATTTCAGTTTTAAATTGTCTGTATGCTGGGATAGCCTCCCACTCTGTTTTAACAGATCACCTTTTTATTTCCCCAAAGGAGAGAGAAGGAGGTGTGTGTTGATTCTAAACTGGTGAAGGCTGGGAGCTGGGAGTACTTACTCGGCATTCTGGGGAAGTGGGAATTGTCCAAAAGTGGTCAAGAGGCCCAGCTATCTGCATCAGGATAATCAGGCCATCAGACCATTTGCTTTTTCGTTTTGGTACCGGGGATCGAACTCGGGACCTTGCACTTGCAAGGGGCGGAATCACTGAGCTAAATCCCCGGTCCAGGCCATTTGCTTTTATTCTGCTAAGGATCCATTGTATTTGAAATCGGATCCTGCCATGTGAGTTAGTTGCCCTTATAGAAAGGAGAACTGATGGATAGTCCTGGTTGTCTTGCGTAGTTCTCCTGAAAGATAGTGTCTTAATCCTTCTCATTAATCAAAGGCCCCTGGCTCCCCCTAAATAGTTTTTTCCTATATTTATAGTTTTATTGTATCTGATTATAGTGTAGTGTTTACTTTTCTTCCCCTACTGCACTGTTTCTATGCCTTTAGGGATGTTACTAAATCTCAATTTTGATCTCTGAGATTATGTTCTGCATCCTGTCCACAATAGGTGCTCGGTAAATTTTAGAAGAAGATCTCTATGATCAATATCACTTGATTCAAAAAATAATCTATATAAAGCTGGACTTGGTGGTGCACCACCAAGCATTCAGAAAGGCTGAGGCAGGAGAATCACAAGCTCAAGTCCAGCCTAGGCAACTTAGTGACTTAGTAAGAACCTGACTCAAAATAAAAAAGGGCTGGAAAGCAACTCAGTGGAAAGAATCTGGGTTCAACCTCAGTACCACAAAAACAACTCAGTACCACCACAACAACTATCAAGCAACCAATGAAACAATTACCATACTTCATTTCAATTGTTTTTCCTTCTTTGCTCTGCCATTGCTTTCTCCCTATTAGGTGAAGTAGGATTTGGAGGTTCTAACTATCACAGGCTTGGGGTGCAGATCAGTAGTGCTCGTAGTTTGCTTGCTGTACACCATACCTTCTGTTCTTCTTGTGCCCTCCCTACCTTGACATTTACTCACCTTTTTGGTTTTCCTTTCAGTGACAATGTCAGTGCCTACTGCCTGCATATTGCTGAGGATGATGGGGAAGTGGACACTGATTTCCCCCCACTGGATTCCAATGAGCCCATTCATAAGTTTGGCTTCAGTACTTTGGCTTTGGTTGAAAAGTATTCATCTCCTGGTCTGACATCCAAAGAGTCGCTCTTTGTTCGAATGTGAGTACTGACTCTGTTATTTAATCTCAGTATCTTGTCCCTACCTTTTAGCATTTCAGATCTGATCTTGTTTGTTCATCAAATGAATGTACTTGCTCTCCGGAGAGTCCACATATAATGATTACTTCCAGAGAGATGTTGGGGACAACATTTGCATTGTTATTTCATGCCTTTGTGCCTGCACTACAAACAGCCTGCTTTGCAACAGCAAATTGATAAGGTAGATCTTTGAATGTCATGTCTACAAATAGGCCTCTGGAAACACTGGTATACTTGGAGCCTGGAAAGCAAAACTTGTAGATTTCTCTCCTTTAAGGAATTCAAGCTAAATGAAAATGTTCGTTGTGGCCACTTTTCTCTTGTGACTTAAAATACCTTTCTCTACAACTGTGTTCAGATCAAATTTGATTTTTCCTCTCAATTGCCTGCCTTCAGACTGAGGAGATGTTCTTAACCTTTTCTATGCCTTTGCCAGTCTGGTAAAGCCTATAAAAGCCCTTCTCAGAAAAGTGTGTTAAAGTGCATAAAATAAAATTTACTGGAATATAAAACAATTCTGTTATATTTCAAGTCATCACATTATTAAATGTGATGTAATACGTGTGGCTTTATGAGTAGAGTAAATAACAAGACCAAGCTGCAGTTCTAGCCATAACTCTGGGAGACTGTTTTTTTGAGATTGTGGTGAATATAAATGGTATTTGAGAAATGTGTACCAACTGTAATGTGCTGTGCTGTTAGCTAGGATTTCTGTTCATGACAGTCACTGACAGTGCTAATATATACTACTGTGATTTCTTCCCTCTGTTTATAATTCAAGGAAAGACACTCAAACTTAGTGAGGTAGAAATATAATTTTTGGCTCTTGAGGTCTGTGGAAATACTGAGTCCCATGGCTGAGGGAAAACTTGCATAACCTGCATAAGTCTGCATAGGCTTCACACTAACCAAAGTGTGTCTAACCTAGGCCTCTGCTGCCCCTCTCCTCTAGCTCTTGGGTACACTAGCGATCCCTTTGGCACCCCCTGCTGTTAGGAATCAGCACATTCACTGTCCTAAAGGATTGCTTGGAGGACTTTTCCCCTGTCTTTGAAACATACAGCCTTTGAGATTTTTTTTTAACTGAAAATGAATTATACTACATATGATATATATAAGTAATTTGGATTGTTCTACTCTTTTTTGGGGGGGTGGGGTGGACCGAGGATCGAACTCAGAACCTTATGCTTGTGAGGCAGGCAGCAGAACCACTGAGCTAAATCCCCGGCCCTGGATCTTTCTACTCTGAAGCAAAGAACGAGCACATAGTGTCTGGGATGAAATGGGGAGCCCCTGAAGCTTTCACAGTGGCCATTTCATCCCTATTCTGAGATCAAGTTTGGTGTATATAACAGCAAATTTTCCCCACTTCTTCATTTCCAATATACCAAACAACTTCACAGAATATGTAAAATAATTTAGAAATTATCCAGTGATCCTGTAGTCCAGTAGTGATGTACCTATGGCACATGTGCCACAGCAGGCACACAGAGCCCTCTCTGTCAGCACTTGAGCCAAGTTGCCCCAGCAGCAGGGCATCAGATAACAGTTGTTTTTTCTAAACTAAAACCTCAGTATTCAGTGTTATCACTGTGTTGCCACTGTGTGATAGATAGGTAAGTGGGTTTTGGGTTGCAGTTTGGTCACTGTGTCTCTAAAAGGTTCACCATCACTGCTCTAGTCAGTCATACTCGTTTTCAGTTTTGTATAACATTTCCACAAGAATATAGACTATACTCTGATTCCTAGTATGCACATATTTTATATTATTTTTACTTAACATTGCAAATATTTCAATATTTGTTCTTAATTCCTACAGTCTGTTATATACCAGAGATATAGACAGAGATAACTCTTCATTCATGGGGGATTACTATCCATGGGAGAGAGCTGTTGAACAAATCATTAAAATGCAATAAGCAGTATAAAACAAAGTACATAGGATCCAGTGGAAGAATATCACAGAATATTTAGATTATTTGTTTGGGTTTTAATAGTTAATTCTATAATGAGAGCCATTATCTATATCCCTTTCATTTCTGTTGAACAATTTCCCTAGGATCATTTCCTTTAAGTAGAATTACTAGTCAGAGACTAGAAACTTCTGTGGACTCTCCCCGACCCCTGAAGTGTTAGGGAATCAACCCAAGCCTCATGCATGTTAGGTAAACACTACCACTGAGCTACATCCCCAGCCCAACAAGACTGTCACATTTTATTGACAAATAAGATGTACCAGCTGGGTGAGGTAGTACACACCTGTAATCCCAGCACTCAGGATGCTGAGGCAGGGGATCAGTGTGAGTTCGAGGCCAGCCTGAACTACGTAGTGAGACTCTTGCTCCCCTCCAAAAAAGATGTACCAATTTAAAATTCTATCAGCAGAATTCATAAAACCATTTCAATCTTACCATCACAAGGTATTGCGTAAGAATTTACTTTAAAAGATGTATATAAGCCAGGGATAGTGGTACATACCTATAATCTCAGCACTTGGGAAGCTGAGGCAAATAGATCGCTGTAGTTTGAGGCCAGCCCAGGTTACATAGTGAGTTCAAGGCCAATCTGGACTAAGTAGCCAGACCCTGTCTCAAAAAAAAAAAAAAAAAAAAAAAATTAAAAAAACCTTACAAAAAGAGTTGTGTAGCAGGGCTGGGGATGTAGCTAAGGATAGAGTGCTTGCCTAGTTATGTGCAAGGCCCTGGGTTTGTTCCCCCACCACTGTAAAACAAAGAAAAAGGAATGCATATAATAGTACTTTAATAGTTTTTACTTGCATTTTATTAATTATTAACAAGTAATTAGAAGAATATTAACATATGACTGCTGCAGTCTTTTGAACTT